CCATTGCCTTCCCATTCCATACGACGCATGACGTTCTCGGGAGCGGCACTGAAAGGTATGGGAAAAATGGTATCGTCGAACCCCTCTCTTCACTTTGATGATGAGTTCTTTATAAAATGGCGAGATTCTGTTCGTGAAGTTGTTGTAGAGCTCACGAAGCATCCTTAATTATTGAGTAGGAACACCCTGGTTGCCCAGGGCTTCAATAACCGCTTCTGTCTCAACGGTGTCAAAGGCTCTCTTCAAATCGCTGAACGTAAGGCATAACGGCATTTTGTACTCCCGCGATACTTCAATAAGTCTTGTAATGGTAGATCGAGTGCACTGAACCCTCTCCGGAACCCTGCTTGCTCGCATGGCTGTCCTTCATCTAATATTCTGCCAATTCTGTTAAGGATGACTCGTGTGAAGAGTTTATAGATTACAGACAGCAGGCAGATTGGGCGATAATTGCCAATGTCGTCTGGATCTCCCTTTTTGTACAGCAACACATTCTTGCTGGTTTTCCACGACGTGGGCCCTTTGCTCTGCGCTAGGTACCGCGTGAGAAGCCGCACCAGGGTTTTGATAATGACTGGCGGAAGTCTCTTTGGATGTTCTGCTCTGATCCTGTCAGGACCGGGATCGACGTGATGGCATGTCGAATTTCGGAAGGGAGAACTGAAGGGACGACGTATCCGTCCTGCCTAAGATGTTAGGTAGACAGGTAGACACAGCTGTCGAAGAGATCAGAATAGAAGTCGTAGATGACCTTCTCCATTGTCCTTGCAGGTGCAGTAACTGTTCCCTCAGGACGACGAAGGGAAGTCATCTTGGTCTTTTAATTGGCGAAGCTCTGTCGGCCTTGCGAATGCTCTTTCCAGCCTCGGCTGCTTCGTCCATAACTGCTGCTCTTCTCTCTTTCAGGTATAGCTTCGCATTTTCGGGCGTTTGTTGATGATTGCCTGTAGCTCGCACGATTCCGCGCTCGCGAATCAGCTCGAGAGTCTTCAAAGAGAGACGCTTCTTGCCATCTTTGAGGCTCTCCGCTTCCCTGGCGCTATCGCGGAGATATTCAAAGAACCGATCGTATTCTTCATCGACGTTGTGGCTGAAGGAATCATCCCACAAACTCGCAAACGAAGCGAAGTGATCTCAATTGACCACAGTCTTGGGCTTCGCTCCCTAAGCTTTGCAGTTCTTTCCACGCACCCAAAAACAGAGTCTAGGCAGAGACGTTGGTCTGATCCCGTGTACAGCAGTGACGTCAGTAAATCGCAACTTTCGACTGACGATCATGTGATCCATTTCATTATGGAGTTTTTGTTACCATGGATAGTGTGGGTGGACATGATAAACTCGGACAGCCTTACACCCTGCTCATTCCATTCCATTCCACGAGTCCCAATATGAAGCTCTTCAGCCTTTCTTCTGGGGCCAATCTTGGCTTTGGAATCACCGACGATGACCTTGAAGAAAGTATGGTCTTCTCTGTAGAGGCTCTCCAGATCCATGTAGAACGCCTCCAGCTCTTCTTCATCGTATCTCGATGTCGGTGCGTAAACAACGAAGATTGTTAGAGCTGGGGTAGAACCTCATCTTCTCATTCGCAAATGTCCGATTCGGGTAGCCAAGCTTTCGTACGAATCGATGTTCATGGCCTGCTGTCGCATGTTCCAAGGAACAGTTCTCCTCCAGTTTCGAGAGTGGCATGCAACCGGCGGTGCCTTCTCGTCTCGGTCAGTCCGATGACGTCGTACCTGATCTTCCTGGCTTGCACCATCAGATCTTCAACGCACGCTTCCCATGCAAGCGTTCGTGCAGTAGTAAAGTACAGATCGAAAGTACAGGTCGTCATCCTAGTCCTTCTCTCTTTAGGCGGCCTGTCGTGGCCGTGAGATTTTAGCAGCCTATGCGGTATTGGCTCCCAACGCCGCCGTATCGGAGACCCTCTCAGATTCAGGAAAATGCTTACTTTTATTACTGTTTTTGGCATATGAATATCCACGTGTAGCTTGCCAAGCTCTAACACGGGGGGCACTCTTAGCCGTGTGGACTTGCGGACGTGCCGTTAAGTTATATACAACAATATATATATATGTTTTATAAATATAATTGAAAAAAGATAATGAAAGCTCCAAACAAAGTTTTCGTCGAACAGAAGAAAAATGCTGGCGAGAGCTTTCGGAACATACAAACCGACATCTGATGGTAATGACGAAAGCATGTGGCAGAGCAACAGGTTGCCTCCTCTTAAGGCAGGTATTTCTCCGAGCGAATCCTTCTCCTTGGTCCAGAACGCAGCGGTTTAGGCGTAATGTGCTGTGGCCTGCTGTGTGCAACTTAACGTGTGAAGGACGAATCCAACCGCGACCTTGGGCGGACAGGTAAGTCGAGCAAGGGGGCCGCCATCCCTTCAGCTCTTCGACAACTACCTAACCACAGCCTCGATCGCGAAGCGGCAAGCCGGTCAATATAAAGTCTCGCATAACTGGAAATTACCGGAACTTTGCTTTGGAGAACATGATGAAATACTGAGAAGTTACAAAACCCGGTTTTCTTCCACACGCCCACACGCCCACACGCCACACGTTACACCCACCCACTGCGTTGAGGTGGCAGACCGGCGGGGGGTTACGAAAGTTAAATCAAAATAATTTTCCCGAGTTACAAAACGGCAAATTCTTTAAATTTCCTATTTGATGCCCCACAGATTCTTTCACTGAAGATTTTCTTCAATCACAGCATCTCTACACAGTCGGATGGTGCCGAGGCTACGTGACGCGAAGCCAGGTTATAGAGGAGCAGAACGCGAACCAAAAATGCCTGCCTCGAAGAACAAGTGAGTGCAGAAGACGGTCTCTCTATTTTGGATATGCAGGGTTGATATACCTTCTATATTTCGCAGGTGTATCCATGCATACGTGCGTGGATGGTTACAGGTGCAGTGGTGTGTGCTCCTCGGCTCAGCGAAAGGCTAACAGTTAAATGACGGAGAACGTCGAGGAACCATTCGGGTTTGCCTCCGATAACTATGACCCTTATTTATATTCGGGGATAGCCTGGCTAGGACTTTTTCCAGCCCAATTTCAGAATCTGACATGAAACTCGCGGGTGCAGAAAGATGTATCAATGAATTCCATTACCCTGAACCGAGGAAGCCTCCAAACAGGACAGCGCCAGGTAGGTCCATTCGGGAAAGGCTGCCTTGGATCGTTCGGTAGCAGAGGCGCCTTTGATGAAGAAGTACTCGTCAACACGCACTTGACTGCGAATATCGTACGAAAACTTGGCAGTCCGAATAGAAAATTTACAAGTGGAAAGGTGAAGCTTTACCCAAGCTCCGAGAATCTTCGCTGCCTCCGTAGTATTAGTGAACCAAGAAGAAGATGAAGTGAAAGCGTTTCAAATGGGTTTGGATAAGCTCTACAGAAAAGGAAATACTCTTTTCAAAGTCGTCGTGATTTTACATCAAGATTGGTCTCGCAAAGATGGCTGGATGGCTTTAAGTTCGGACTGAATGTAATTGGAAAAGATAAAGCCTTTCGGCGCTGATCGATTTTGGTAAGGATGCGATCCTTTATTCAACTTCCATCCAGAACCGTAGTGGCGTATTGAATGTGTATGTGGCCTATGCAATGACTTTCGGTGGCCAGCCAATGTGCAAGTTAGTGCTTTTATCCTCTCAGGCGAGGCTGGTACCAATCAACCGACCCTGGAAAAAGGGAAGACTCGGTTGGCTTAGCCGGATATTGATCCAGAACTCGAACACCTGACTATCCGTGAGAAATAGTGCTCAACTTGCCTCTACTCCATCTCTAAAGTCTCCAGGAAGGGCTGTCCGAGTTCAACACCATCCGATGGCAATTCGTTGTTCACGAAGCCCTCCCAATCGCTATGGACTCGGGAGCCACCTGGTGGACAGACCTATAATGAAACAGATCACGTAGTCATATTCATCTTCAATCGGAAGATTTGCATATCTGTTGTTCTGAAATCCTACACGGCCACGGTGACGATCACCAACTTCCACTGAGATCAGATAAAAAAGTTTGAGGTTTGTTGATTATACGAAAAGCGGTGAGTGAGAGACATGACTGATAGGGCAACTTTCTGGAGGGAAATCTCTTATTATCAAAGTTCAAATCCGTTCCAGTCGTAAATATCAAAGAGCAAATATGTTATTGCAATTTCAGATCTCAACTGAGATCAGTTTCACAAAAATAGTCATATTTGTCATGTTCTCATATTCTCTCCCCTTGCCGTATTATTTTTTCTCATATTTCATATCGCATTCACGCATTACAAAACTTAAGGGCGAACGGCTAGCAGCAATGATTTCTCGAATTTACCTTCCTACCCTTTCACGTGGGATTCGCTTCACGTATTGTTAGAAGGGCATGATGAAGAGCATTTGTGATAAACGGCAAGTCTTCGAATTGAGACGATCTTGGCAAATTCAATTAACTTCACATCTCTCTTACCTTACACACGTGGATTTCGCCTCATGACGCGATGTGGTTACTAGGATTTCGGTGATGAATGGCCATCAGTTTTAACCGAGAATGAATTAGAGTTTACGAGGTTTCCTGGTTACGAGAAGAGTTGGAATTTAGAATACATGATGAGTGGAAATATCTCCTGAGGGGGAACATTGAGATCTCGTACAGTCGAAGTTCGGATTGACCACAGTCAAGACAGCCAGGAGCGAACATGAGACTGCATTCCCAGTCCCTATTGAGATCATGCTAGACCTTTACGGCGCTCGATAACAAAGGCAGCACTCCCATTTAAATGAAATCGTGATTTTTGCCTCAACATATCAATGATTTTTCAGTTTTTGTTTTATATTCTATGTAGTCAGCCCACTAGATTTACGGGGTATCGCAGCCGTTACTGCGGCAAAAAAAGTGATCGTGGAGATCATTGATTTGTTCATTGCTTTTTATTTTACTTTAACCGATCTAGAAATCTGTAGCGAAAAAGGTGCTCATTGAGATGAGATCAATTCAACATTTCTGACTCATTAATTTTCATCTATAGAAGAATGAAGCCTTTCGGCTGTAATTGATCTCGTGCAAGGGATGCACTCCCGCATTCTACTTTTATTCGGAATCGTAGCGGCGTAATGAATGGCCCAGCTTTTATCCTCCCAGACGAGTGTGGTAGCATTTCACCAACCCCGGAGGGGTGAGATTCTTGGTGTGGAGGCGGATATCGATCCGAGACTGGAACCCGTGAAAATGCATGTGTGAAGTGCGCCACCTGCCAGTGCACCACGAAGGGAAAGTGGATAGGAGAAAAACTTTCCCAGCTGTTTAAGATCCCTGATGCTTTCCAATACTCCGCTGTCTTTCTTTATAATTTAAGCGATGACTCCGAATCATAAGTGTAAGAGTGTGTCTATTTTGCCCTCCTTCCAAAGTATAAATGTATTTTTTGTAATAGTGTGCGAAAACAGTAGATCCACATTCCAAAATGGAACGAATGTAAACCTTAGAAGCCCTAAGCAAAGTATTGGAGTCATGGGGGCGAAGAACTTTGAAGACATTAAAACTTCGACGGAGAGCTCTTGAAACTGTTACTTTATAACGATTCGAAAAGTCAAGAGTCCTATCATAATGAAATCCGAGGTCACGGACTTCTGATACGATTCTGAGAATTATTCCACTCAAACGATGTGAAAAAACCCGAGCATGCTTGCACATGCACAACTTTTGTGTTTTCTCGATGGAGAGTGGAAGATGAGTCATTACAGACAATTCAGCTGCTTTATCAATTGCTTTTTTGACACTTATATAAGCACCAATTCCAGAGACCTCCTTTATGTCATCTGCGTAAAGGTTGCAAACAACATCATGACCATTAAGAAACCAAGGAAATCTAAAGTAAGTATATTAAACACAACCGCTGAAATTAAACCACCTTGAGGTGCTCCTGATTTTACAGTACAAACATATGAGTAAGAGTCTTTCTCCAAGACTTGCAAAGTTCTGTTATATAAGATTCTTGTATCCAGTTCCTCACAAGGAGTTGTAATCCAAGATGCTCCAGTTTCTAAACCAATAACTCATGGGAAACTCTATCGAATGCTTTTCGGAACCAAAATAAACTACACCCACGTTCTTTCCCCGATCCAAAGACCTGTCCCGCCACTGAGACAATCCAGTAACGAAGTCTCAGTAGATCTATCTTTACAACACCATGAAGAGATTTGGATTTGGATACCAAACTTATTATGATGAGGAACTATGTATTTCTCTAGGATGAGATAGTGGCTCTTGATTTGACAGCAGAATGACAATAGCATGTTTCCATCCACTTGGCACTTCACTGTCCATGAAACTAAGGTTAAATACGAACTCAAGAGGACCAGTGATTTTATGAATGCACTGCTTAACAATCAAATATAGAACTCCACCAGGATTATTTGAGGCTGATGATACCCACTCGTGCAGCATCACTGCAATATCTTCTGTATCCAACCAAGGAGCAGGATCAATACAATATTAGGATACAACAAAGATTCCATTACAGGACAAGATAAAGCAAAGGCTTTTCCGGAGGTGTCAGCTAACATTTCAGCCTTGTTTTCATCAGTTACTGCCCTTATTGAATCCTTGCATAACGTGGCAATGCATGGCTTATCTGAAAGCCTCGAATTCGGGATGGAGTGAAAACCTTTGGATAGCATTTTTGCCTCAACATAAGCA